GTCTATGTAAATAAGAACCTCTAGCAAATCGATCAAATAAATAAAAACCTCTGACCGGGTTATGTTAATTGAAACCTCTAACCTTAAACTAAAGTCCAAGTAAATAAGAGCCTATGGAAAATCGGTCAAGTAAATAAGAACCTTTGCCCGGGTTATGTCAATTGAGATCTCTGGCATTAAGCTGGAGTCCAGGTAAATGAGAACCTTTGAAAAATTGGTCAAGTAAATAAAAATCTCTGACCGAGTTATGTTAATCGAAACCCTTGACTTTAAGCTAAAGTCTAAGTAAATAAGAACCTCTGAAAAATCGGTCAAATAAATAAGAACCCCTGACCGGGTTTTGTTAATTGAAACATCTGACCTTAAACGAAAGCCTAAGTTAATATACATCTGGCACCCTGGTCAAATTAACGTACCTCTGGCCTTAAGGAGTTTTGTTAACTTATCCCTTGCCAATCACAGATATGAGCCACCCGGGGATTAACCGACCAATGTTTAAAAATGATGAGACCCATAAATCACTAAGGCCTGACTCATTGGGGCTTTGAACCTATACGGTACGAACCTCGGCTAAAGATAACCTATGATCTGCTTGAGGTCCGCCACTCTATTTGATTTCCATTCAAATAAATCATTTATCAAAGAAATAAAATGCATCAGGGTTACACAAAAATTATGAAAGAACTTACATGGTCACAAACTAAAATAATCTCATTAGGGATCGAATATTATTTTTATAGGATCAGAAAAACATCCAAAACAATGCTCCGATGAGAATGATATCTAGTTTCAATCATACCAAAGATTCTTAGGCATTGGACCCCAACCCACACTGGCTATCACAATTTTAATAACAAGGCCAAGCCTTGGCTTGGTTAATGCAGGAAATCATCAGGTTGAGATCCCACTAAGGATCTCCTACTTTTATATTTTTAGAACCAACCGAGTTCTACAATGCCAATTGGTCGAGTTCCTACTAGATTATCCAACTTCTCTATGTCTAGAACCTACCGAGTTCTACGACGCCAACTGGCCGAGATCCCACTGGGCTATCCGACTTCTCTATGTCTAAAAACGGTTTGGAAACCTTGTCGAACTAGATTCATGATTTGCTTCTCCATAAAACCAACTCAGATGAAGTACAACCCATTCAAGAAAAAATAATTTCAGAATTCTTTGTCTGAACATTTCATCCCACTGAGCTTCATGATTGAGGGGCTTATGCACACCCTGAAATTCTTAAATCCAAGTATGCTTCTCGGACTTATGGCCGGTGTACATCACGAGAACTTTAGGAGACCGGGGAATTATTATGAAGTCGGGTAGCAAGTTCCATACTCATCTAGGACTCAATTTATCGGGCTCTAAAGGAATATCCAAGTCGGAAAAGTTATGACATTCCAATGGAGAAATTCGTTACAGAAAGTTTAAAGGGTTAAAGTCGTTACAAATGGTTAATAGTTACTAAAACCTATTAACCACGCCTCTTCAGTATCCACGGAAAGGGAAGGCTTATAGATAAAAAGGGTTTTAAGGCCAAACAGAAAAGAAGGGATCTGACCGATGAATAACATAAAAAGGAGGGAAACACGTGAAAACCTTGAACCATCAACAATGGTGGTCATTCATCCCTTCCTAGCATACCTCCTTCCAGACAAGACGATTGTGATCCAACCTAAGCAGCTTTAGGGGGATTTATCCAAATGATGTTTATCATGAACAATGTTTATACTAAATAAAAAGTTGTACATTTTTAAAGGTAAACTGAGGGCATAAAACTTTGAGATTTTTGAGAATATTCATGACAAGCTCAAATATACTTATGAGCACCTTAATGATATTCAGAGCAAAATTCAAAATATTGGTATAAATTCTTAAGAATGTGTGATTGGGTCTAACTAAACTCTAAAAAATTGGCTTGTAAGATGAGGATTTCCTCCACTTATATGCACATGTTCTAAAGGCTCCTTAGTCTTTGATTGACATTAATTTTGGTAAAACAAACCTGACAGAAACATGTTGGGTAAGATGTCCTAACATGTAGCAGAACTTGAAGAAGAATATGTTTTGACAAGATGTCCTAGCAGTGTTATTTGACATCTTTGTCTGTTAAACTTTTTAAATATGGTTTGAATCTGTTAATTTAAATTCAGATTGCAGAAGATTGTTTGTGTATCTGAGGTGGCGTTCAGATTAAGGAATCAGAGATTCTCTCGGAATTTGAAGATGTGTTGTTTTCTAAAGTGTGGAGACATTTTAGGAAACTTAGGATTGAAGAAACTATTCTTAAGGAGAATATTTTGCGGATTCTGAGGAACAGAATTGCTGCGTTTTTGAAGCCTAAATCTAGTATTATTTATAGTTATAAAAGGAAGACCTAGACCTAGAGTAGAAAAGAAAAGAATTCTTATTGAGACTTTTGTAAAGTAGAAAATAAGGATTTAGGGTTTTAAGAGTCGTGTACTTTCTTGTATTGTAAGTCACCCTTTATATCGATTGATACATTGTGGTAGATACAAATCTTTATACAGATTCAGAAACCTGTAGGTAATGAATTGTGTATTGTTCTTGGATGAAGCTTTTAAGCAAATCCATGCATGATTGTTAGTCAAGAGTCTTGACTGAATATTGTATTGGAAGGAATATATATCAAACGAACAGTCTGATGTAGTTGCTGAAGATCGTAACTGTTAGATATCACTAAGGTGATTTAAGAATTGAGATGCGCTTCTCTTATCTAGATGGTGATTTCTAGATAGAATTGTATTGGGTAGGGATTAAGTGAGGAGTTGTAAACGGGATGTTTAGCTCTAAATTAATATTACTAATAGTGAACTCATTCTTGGCTTGGTAGCCCTCAGATGTAGGTGATTTGCACCGAACTGCGTCATCATATCTTATGTTATTTTTCATTCTGTTATAATTTATTCAGCCTGTACTTTTGATCTGAAGTATATGTTTTTGACAGATGTTGAAACATCTGTCATGACACTATTTTGACCTTGAAGATTCAAAGTGGTCTTGTTTTTAAGAGAACATAATGTTTTTTTTTTATCCGTGTTCAGTTTTTTTAAAAGAGATCAATGTCTCGACATCTCTCAGAACATTTGGGATCTGCTTGCCAGAATTTCATGTTGAATCCATATATCATCTGATGTAGGACTCTTAACACCCCCTCATGTCCATGATTTGCGTTTAGAACGTGGAACTAAATGGTGGATGGTCCAATGGATCTTAAACGAGACTTTAATACCACATTAAGAATGTGTGGTTGGACTTAACTCAACCCTACAAAATTTTCTTGTAAGGTGAGGATTTCTCTTATTTATAAGCACATGTTCAGGTCATATATTGTCCGATGTGAGACTCTTAACATGAATGATGACTTGACAAATTCTTAAAAGTTAACTCACATAGAGATGGAGAAAGCTCTCGACATGGAAGAGGTTTCTAGCATGAAAAAAGTAGGCTGAAGTGGGAGATTCGTGGGAATATGAACACTGAATTTTTTCACAAGGTCAAAAAAACCAAGAATGCTTGAAGGCCTATTACATTGCTCAAGCATGGTGACACTTTGATTACTGGAAAAAAAGACATTGATGCCCATGTGGTAAATTACTTTACTAATATGTTCTACCAAGAAGTGGTAGATAAGAATCTTTCTCTAGTGGATGAGGTGATTTCGTCTTTGGTCTTTAACAACATGAAAGATATCATCACCGTCATGTCTTCTTTAAAGGAAATATCTAATGTTATTTTCAATTTGAACATTGACAGTGCTCCTAGGCCGGATGGTTTTAGGGGAATTTTCTATGAAATTTATTTGGATATTATTAAATAGGATGTTTGTAATGCAGTCTCCAATTCTTCTTTCGAGGTTGGATCTTACCTAATTTTAACTCTAATAACATTATTCTTCTTCCTAAGTCCAACAATGCATATTTCATTGATATGGTTAGGCCAATTTCCTTGGTTAATTTCAAATTCAAGATAATCTCAAAGGTCCTAGCTGACATATTAGCAAGCATCATGCCTCATGTCACTTCCAATAAACAAGGGGTTCATACAAGATAGAAATATTTAAAATTCGATTTGCCTTTTTTCAAAAATTATTAACTTACTTGACATGAAATTTATTGGTGAGAATCTTGCTATCAGAGTGGATGTATCTAAGGCCTTTGATACATTATACTAGAATTTCCTTCTCAAAATGCTCTCCATATTTGACTTCAATATAAAATTTTGCTCTTGAATTTTCATAATTCGACATATCTGTTTATCTCTATCAATGGCACTGTTGATGGGTTTTTCAAATGCAATAGAGGAAAACTTTCATTTATGTCATGTGCAAGACAAGTAAAAGTTCTCTTTCACTTCTACGCCATTTGCATTGATTATATATGTTGATGGAATTTTCATTAAAGAGACCCCTCTCTTCTAAATTGAAATTTAATTATTATTTTTTTAATTAAATGGGAAATGTAGAATAACATGTGCATTTTTGGGGGTGACAAGTAAATTATTTGAGAAAATGACTCCAATAAAAATATTGTTTAAAGGCGTTATTTATTTATTTTTTTTAACTTTTTCATTATTACATTCCTATATGATTTTATTCCAAACAGGCATTGTTTCTGGCTCTAGTAACAGATTATGTTGGGACTCCATCTAAATGGACACAATTTAAGTGTTGTAAAGTTCCCATCACAGGAGGGTCATCAAACCTAATTCATGGCAATATCCAAGTAATTATTATCATTTGCAAGAGTTGAAATATGACCCAAAATCACAAAAAAAATTTAAACTATTGTGCCTAAAAGTCCCGCCTTCATTATAATTTCACAACTTTTAAACTTCAAAGTTTTCCTATTTGATGCATGTGTGATAGCAGAAGTGCCCTCTAAAAAAATCATTTCATTAGATATATACTCCATTGTTACATCAAAATGAGCCAATCAAAAATATAAATTAAGAAAAAACCCTAATTTGAATAAATATGTCTAATCGGAGCTGGTGAACTTGGTAACGACTTTAGTTCCCTCAGAAACGGCATGCTTAGCAAGCTCACCGGGAAGAACAAGGCGAACAGCAGTCTGAATCTCCCGTGAAGTGATGGTTGGTTTCTTGTTGTAGCGAGCGAGTCTAGATGACTCCTGAGCAAGCTTCTCGAAGATATCGTTGACGAAGCTGTTCATAATCCCCATAGCTTTACTGGAGACACCGATGTCAGGATGAACTTGCTTAAGAACCTTGAAGATGTACATCTTGTAGGTCTCAACGCTCTTCTTGTTTCTCTTCTTCTTCTTGTCTGTGGAGGATGCATCCTTTGGGATCTTTTTCTCAGCCTTAGGTTTCTCTACCGCTGCTTTCTCTGCGGGCTTCTTCTCCGCTGGTTTCTTTTCTCCCTTGGGCGCCATGGATGATAGAAAAGAGTTTCTGGAAGAAAAATCGAGAATGAGAAAGAGAGGATTGCAAGCGATGAGAGTGTGAAAGTGGGGAAATAGTTTATATAGGAATGATTTGTGGGAGCTGATTGGTAGATTTTAGAGCACGCGGATTGATGACGTGTATGTTTCATTTTGGAGGGGAATTTTAAACATCAAATCTATTGTAGTAGTCACTAATTATAAAAAATAAAAAAGATGAAAACTATCTTTTATTAAGTCATTTAAATTTGCAACAAAAAAATAAGTCATTTAAATAATTTTTAGCACACAAAATTTAGGTTAATTTTGTAGTTTTATTTATATTTTTATTTATTTAATTATTTATGTATTTGCTTTATTTAATTATTTTACTTTATTTTAATATTTATTTTTTTATCACTAACGACCCAAAATTTTAATAGTTTTTTTATAGCAAAAATGTTTTTTTGTTAATATTTATAAACCATTGCACTTTTATGATCGTCTGAAGGGATATATATGACATTATTCTTGATATTATTAAACCAATTTAAGTTTCATTGGGTCCATCTGCTCTTTAGCAACATGTGCACTAATTTATATAAATTAATAATACAAAGTCTTAAAGTTGACTAAAGATTTTCAAATTAGACAACGTCAAGAGCTTAGTGAGTATGGCAGTCAATTGTTTGTTTGTTCGCACATACTCATGAGTAATTTTCCTTTATTCAACTCGTTCTCTAATGAAATGATGACGAATATCAATATGTTTTGTTTATTGTGTTGAACTGGATTTTTTAAGATATTCGTAGCACTTATGTTGTCACAACATAATCCCATAACTTCTTATGTCATGTTGTACTCTATAAGCATTTGTTTTATCCATAAAAGTTTAGTGCAACTACTTCCAGCATTAATGTACTCGACCTTTGTAGACGAAAGGGATATACAATTATGCCTTTTAATAAACCAATATTTTATTGTTCTCTATAAATAAATATCCACCCTAAGTGATTTATCTATCTTCAATATTGTCTCTGCCCAGTCAGCATATTAAGATGTCCCCACTAGCGAACAATTTGTATCAAAGGAATATTGAATACCATATTAAGATGTTCCAATTATGTATTTAACGTTACTCTTGACCTGAGTAAGATGGATACTCTTAGGATTGACTTAATAATAGGCACAAACAACTATAGATAAAGTAATGTTAGGTCGAATGGCAATGAGATAGGAAAGGATTTGATCAACAATTACTCCATGTTTATCTTTTAATAGCTTGACAAGAGTGACCACTAGGTGTGTGTTTGTGTCTTGCATTCTCCAAACCAAATTTATTCGTAATGTTTTAACATATTTACTTTGGGAAAAAATAATGTCATATTTCATTTGTTTAACTTGGAAGTCAGTGAAATAACTAAGTTCACCAACCATGCTCATCTTAAATTCAACTTGTATTTGTTGGACAAATTGATCCACCGTCTTGCTTTACATCCATCCAAACAGAATGTCGTTAACATAAATTTTAGTTATCATAAAATTTCCATTGTCCTTCTTCAAAAATAAAGTTTTATCAATTCCTCCACAAATGTAACCATGCATAGAAATAAATTGATTGAGTCCCTCACACCATGTTCTGGGGCCTTGTTTGAGCTTGTATATAAATTTTCTTAGTTTGTATATATGTTGGGAAACTATGGTATGGATCAATAATTCATTTTGGCTGCTAAATGAAAACTTCATCATTAAAGTACCCATTGAGAAAGACATTTGTCACATCCATATGATAAAGTTTAAAATTGAGGAGACACGACAAGCCAAGTAATAATCTAATGAATTGAAGGCAAGTAACAAGAGCAAAAGTTTCATCAAACCCATCCCCTTCAATTTGAGTATAGTCTTGTGCAACAAGACACATTTTATTTCTAGTATCATTCCTATGATAATCTGATTTATTCTTGTAAATCCATTTATTGGTAATGATATTTGCATAATTGGGTCTAGGAAAAGTTACCATACTTCATTTCTTTCAAACTTAACGAGCTCTTCAAACATACAATTGACTTCAAATTGAACATTGAAGGTCTCTTTCACATTTTTGGGTTCAATATTTGAAATAAAACATATATTAGATATCACATATCTATAATTAACTAATTATTGTCTTCATGTGGTGTTCCTTCATTTATATATCTTACAATATTCTCAATAGGATGATTATTCTTGATCCTTTATGATGGTTATTTTATAAGCAATATCTTCATTAACATCTGAGTCTCCGTCTTTTTCACCAAACTACAAGTTGCTCTCTCTATTGTCTGGAGCATTTTGCTCAACGTTTTGACCAATGAGAGGGGAAAATCTTTGTCTTATGAGGAATCACTTCAGCTTGATCATCATTAACAATGACATCATGGATTCCATCATAGATTTCATGTGCTTGTTAAACACCCGATACACCATATTCTTAATAAAATACCCTGGAAAGACGTCATAATCACTCTTAGAATCAAGCTCCTGTTTTTTTTCCTTATCAACGAGAAAATAGCAGATATTGCCAAACACGTGAAAATATTTAACATTTTCCTTCTTCCCCCTCCATATTTCATGTTTGGTAACCTTTGTATCTGGTCGAATTGTTGTTCAAGTGTGAATATGAAAAGCATGATTCATTGTTTCTACCAAAAAATGATACAAAATATGTTTGGCATGAACCATAACTTGGTGCGTTTCTTTCAAATTGTGGTCCTTCCTTTCTAGAATGTCATTCTATTGAAATGTGATGGGAGTAAAAAAATGATGAACAATCCTTTTAGTATTGTAGAAGGTATTGAAGTTTGAGTTCTCAAATATCCTGTCGTGATCATTTCAAATGTGAATGATCTTGTCAATGTCTTCTCCTTTTTCACTTTGTATACAAATACACATTGCCTCAAAAATAGCGAAGGTACAAAATCTAACAAACAAAGTGAACCCAAGTGTATCTAGATTAATCATCAACACAGACAAAGGCATATCTCTTTCCTCCAATACTCTTAACTTGAATTGGTCCCATTAGATTCGTATTAAGAAACTCAAGCACACTTGTAGTGGTAAGATATTGAACCTTCATATGTGACATCTTGGTTTGTTTTCCTACCTGACAGTCACCACGGATTTTACCTTATTCGATCTTGATATTTGGTATTCCAACCATAGCCTTTTTAGAAATAATATTTCCCATACTTCTAAGATTTAAGTGTTCAATATTTCTATGTCATAACATAGTTTCTTTAGTTTTGGAAATTAAATAAGACTGAGGCTTATTCTTATAAGAAGGTTATCATATTTAGCAGTTACTTGTATACTTGGATACTTTCATCAGTTGAGTATGTTGTTTATTTGTGACAATGTATTCAACACTATTGAACTTGATCGCATAGTTCACTGATTTTAACAAGATTAAAATTAAGACCATCAACTAATAAAACATCATTAAGGAAAGGAAGACCATGATAGTCTAACTGCTATTTTCCAATATTTTTCCTTTAGCACCATCACCAAACATAAAATAATTGTTGAAATAAGGTTTGACATCTTTAAGATAGTTTCTTTCACCCTTCATGTGTTTAGAGGAACCGGTATCAAAGTATTAGTCTTCATGGCACGTCAGATATATTGATCATCTAGATTAGACTTCACATTCCACTAAGGATATAGTTGTTTGTGATGTAGTTATTTATCATACAATTTATGGAAATATGTGTGAATGCGACCACATCAACTACAGTAATGGCATACCTAAATGGATCTGATAAAAGCACTAGTATACTGGTGATAATGTTTGTCAGGTTGTTGCAACATTTTCTTTGACATCTTAATTTCTACTTTATGAATAGGAGAAACAAACACGATATTTGGGTTGGAAAGTTTAGTGTTATATCCAATTCCCATTATGTCCTTTGATTATTTGCCCATACCTAAAACGACATTAAGTTCTCAGCTCTTGAATTGAGCATGTGAATAAATTTGTTCATTCCATTTAGTTCAAAATTGAGATGTCCAACTTCTTTGTTCAAATCAAAAATAGCGAGCATGAGATAAGTTTTGTCTTGAAGTAGAGCTTCAATCCTTGTCTTCTGACTTTTTATAACTTATGATTTTCCGGTCAACCTAAGATACACAGTCATATAAGCTTCAGTAAGAGCGTCGCCAGACAGATCATCATCATCATTGACATTCCCATTATCATCTAGGAAAGCATTATCACTAAGTAACTCATGATTGGAACTTTCTTTGAAGTGGGTAGTAAATGCCACAACATTGTTTATTTGATCCGACTCACTTTCATTGTCTGACTCATCATCAGGGAAAGTGGCAACGTGGCTTTTTCTCTGTCTCCTTAGATAATTTAGACATTCTACCTGAATGTGCCCAAATTCTTTGAATTCTCGACAATGAATCCCTTTGGCTCTGTTAATATGGTTAAAGTTTTTCTTTCACCATCTTTTCCCCGTCACTGAAAGTTGCCATCTTTTAAATTTCGATCTTTATTGTATTTGACATGGGTAGATATATTATTCATATACCTTCTATCAAGTCTTATCATGACATTTCCAAAATTTTTAGCAAGCATGGAAATATATTTAATTAGATTTTCATCAGTGTCATGACCTACTTGGTCTTCATAGTCGATAATATCCACTTTGAACGTGACACTCTTACTATTTTTCTCATATTTGTCATTAATGGTCATTTCAAATGTAAGTAGGGATCCATTCATTTCATCAACTTTCATCGTAGAGACATTTTGCGCTTCCTCAATGGTTGTAACCTTTATATCAATCCTCTTTGGAATATTTCTTAAAATTTCTCACAAACTTATTATCTAACATATTTTTACCAAGACCAAAGAATTATTAGCAATGTCACGAAGGTGAATAATAAATTCATAAATAGTTTCATCCCCACGCATCTTCAAGTTTTCAAATTTTGTGGTAAGGAGTTAATGTATTAACATACAAACTTTA